TATCGATCCTTTTATTTGGACGATTAACAATGATCCAAAATAGCTCTCGTTAGCCGCTAGTCAGACTCTGAACCATTGAAATCCGTCAAATCACAGTGATCAATCCTAATTTGTTATAATGATTACCTTCCTCGCCCTTTTTGTTTAATTTATTTCCGCTTTTGATTTCTTCATTCACTCCTATTTTGTTATAAAGATCAATCACCAAACCATAAATCGCTATCTTTTCCTATTCCAACGTGTGGTCCGATTCTGAAAACAGTAGTGACCACTTTGTATAAAAACTATTATTCATGGACCGGTTTGCTAATTAATCCCACAATCTTAAGATGTCCAACGTGGCCTTTGATATTTTGTTGGGCCGGGCTTTCGTAGAACAGATCCGTTTGATTGAAATCCATATCTGTTAGTGGATCCACCGCGCTCGATAATTCTTTTTTCTTTTTAAAAATAAAAAAAGCTAAGATTTTGATTAATTGCATGAAGTGTGCCACGTTGCAATTCTTCTTCACTCCCTCAGTTCGCTCAGTCACCACTCCGCATATATAAATCCAAACCTCTCCCATCTTTTCCGCTCTCTTTCTCTCTCTTCTTCTTCTTTCCATTTCCCAATTCCCCTTTGTTTGTTTCCGCTCTCTCTCTCTCTCCATCTCTCCATCTCTATCCTTCCATTCCCATCCCACCTTTCTTTAGCTCCTCCAGATTCCATCACTTTCTCGGGAGAGAGAAAGAAGGGAGGAGGAGAAGAAGAAAGAAAATCCATTCCCTTCCACCTCCCGATTCCATCAACCAACTCTTTCTATCTCTACCTCTCTCTCAGATTTAGATCCTTTGCCGCTTTTTAACCGGATCGCCACTCCGATCTCTCGATCCGCTGATTCGAACCTGTATATTTTCTTTGGATTCAATCAATCGACAGAGACCGATCCGTAATTTGCTCGCAGCGAGAGAAATTTTTTCCATGTTTCGACGCCGAATGAGCTCCGGTTTCCCGTCGGCTCGATGAGTAGAACGATTCGAGGTAATCGTGATTCTGATCTCTCATCCGTTCTGCTTTGGCTTTTTTTTTTTTTTGCTGCTGCTGCGTACAGTTCTAATCGACGACGGTAATCTGCGTTCAGCTGATTGCTTCGCGTTTGTGTGCTTTGTATGATGATTTCTTGCGATGATTGTGAAATCTCCGATGCTGCATTCTGATCCGAGAGTTAGGTGGTGGATGATTCCCGCTTATCATTTCGTTCTTTTGTTTCTGTTTACTGTTCTAATTCCGGTGAGGCATTTGAATCAACGGCCGTAATCTGTGTTCGTTTGAAGGCTTCGCGTCTCTATATTTTTTCTTTTATTATTTGTTGAGATGATTGTGAAATCTCCGATGCTGCATTCTGATCTGAGATTTCTGATGATGGATGACGATTTCGATTTCTGTATGGATTGCTGATTTGCGTTGTTTTGTTTGTGATGCAGCGGCTTTTCACCTCGTTTTTGCCAGTAGTGACCGGACGAGGAGTGTGATCTGGCGCCAAAGAAGGGCCAGAGTCTGCCGATTTTAGATGGTTGTATGCAACAGCTGCATCAGGAGTGTGGTTGTGGTTGCTCAAGCCGTGGTTTTCTCCAGAACAAGGTTGATATCCAGCCGCAACGTCGGGAGGAAGACCTATTCTTCGCGGAGTACTTTTGGCCTTCTTCGCCTGAATAATAATACGTGGAATCCTAGTTTCCCTGTTCGGACAATCATGATGGTAGATACTGGATCCACGGCTGCGAAAGCTGCACCAGCAGTCGGCGGCCTGCAGCCGGAGAAAGAAGAAGGCGGCGGATATCTTGGTGGAACTTGTAAAAGGTTATTCTCTGGGATTCAGAATGCTCCATTGCATTTTCATGATACATGAAGCGAAATATCAATGTGATTTGTCTCTTGATGGATTTGTACTTCTTTTACTTGTTCCTGTGGATCTTAAATGTTTTTTGTTAAAAGGTTGGTGATTGAACTTGTATCCTGGGTGGTATCCAGTTGCTAGGTTTGAGAAAATGTGGAAGGGTAGAGTGAAAGGAAAAGATGATAGGATGATTCAGGGATTGTAGATTGTTCTTATCACAAATTTTCACATGCTATTGAAGAGGAGTTTGTAGTAATCAGCTTATTGGTAGGACTATTAACTATTCTTCCTAGTATTCAATTCATCCTTGTTGGTCCTTGTGAAGATGGATTGAATAATTGGTATCATTTCGTTTTGCATTCTCATATCTCCTGTCACTGCATCTTATGCCGCACTCATCCTTCAAATAAAACAAAGTAACCTTAAGAAACTGACATGTTTCTGTTAAGCATTACTGACATTTGTATCTGATGCTCTTGGCAGTGAGGACGGAAAATTGAGCTGTGGGTACTCTAGTTTCAGAGGAAAGAGAGCAACCATGGAGGACTTCTGTGATATGAAAATTTCAAAGATTGACGAGAAACCAGTCTGCATGTTTGGAATATTTGATGGTTAGATTTTCCTGCAATATATTTTCCAGTTATTGTATAACATTGTGTGTTCTATGCATGATGGTCAAACTTTGGGTCTGATTGGTAGCCGTTGGGAATCTTTAGTGTTGTCGTGGATGCATATGGTGGTGCGTGGTGTTTCCATATACAGTTTGACCTTGGTTTGTCCAATTTCAATAAATGAATCGCGCAGTCATCATATAAGGAAAAATGATGATGGATCTCTCCTGTCAGATGATGATTGCCAAGTTGAGGTTTATATATTTGCTCCAATATACTAGGATTGCTTCCCATTAGGCTGAGGAATAACCATGTTTCGCGCGATCATCTTGTCCTTACTTCACAGTTTGGACTATAAGATCTGTCACTATACACGTGTCGGTGATCGCCCTATTGAATCTTTCATTTTCTTGTTGTGGATGAAGATTGAATACCATGTGATGACCGTTACGTAAAATTTTTTTCCAGGTCATGGTGGCTCTCGAGCATCTGAATATTTAAAGCAACACCTATTTGAGAATCTAATGAAGCACCCACAATTTATGTCAGATACCAAATCAGCTATAAGTATGTTCAATTTTTTTTTCTTGTCATACTTCATTAGGATCATATTTAGCCAAATACTACAAGTGACTTTAATGTACTTGCAATAACAATTTTATTATTATGCAGGTGCAACATATCAACAGACTGATGCTGACTTCTTAGATTCTGAAAAGGACACATACAGAGATGATGGCTCTACTGCTTCAACAGCAGTTCTAGTAGGCGACCATCTATATGTTGCCAACGTTGGGGATTCACGAACTGTGGTATCCAAGGCTGGAAAAGGTACCAATTTGCTGCTGCTGTTTGTTTGTTTCTGTGCACTGTCAAGGTGCAGCTTGTCTGGTAATGTTTTGGGCTTGATATCTTCTTGTGCTTTATAATAGACGATGAAAGTAGGAAGTACATATAGGGCCTTGGCACTTAGATCGAGAGATGTGCATTCGAGACAGCTCTTGTGTTAGTCCTTAGACATGGTTCCACTTCTAAAGAAATAGTTTGATACCGAGACAAGTCAGATAACAGTGTCTTGATAATATTTAACGATAAGAGTGAAATTCAACAGTTCAATCTACCTTACCATGTTATGGCTATTCATGATCTTCGTCTTCATCTTCAACTACCAAACTGCTAATTGTTCCTTGTTTGTCAGTCTGCTAACTGCAGCTACTATCGTTGTTTAAAAACTAACCATGCTTTCCCATTCTCCTTTTCTGTGATTTGACAGCAATTGCCCTCTCTGAGGATCATAAACCTAATAGAAGTGATGAGCGGAAGAGAATTGAAAATGCCGGCGGTGTAGTGATGTGGGCAGGTAATTCTACTTGACATCCTGCTTGTTGAAGTCTGAATAAAGTTGTAATCATGATCTAAATGAAGCTCAAATCCCTGCATTAGTTTTTAATACTGGAAATTCATAAGAGTACTTTGATTTTCTGCTCAGGCACATGGAGGGTTGGTGGTGTCTTGGCCATGTCACGGGCATTTGGGAACCGTATGTTAAAGCAATATGTAGTTGCAGAACCTGAAATCCAGGTAATCTTCCTAGCTCATAATCTGGAAGCTTATATCATCGTCGTCCTTGCTTGTTGAAGTAAACATGTTCTTTATTTTAATCTTACTGTCACTTGAACTAAAGAAGTTTTCTGTGACTGGTCAGGATCTGAAGGTAGATAATGAGTTTGAATTGCTAGTCCTCGCAAGCGACGGACTATGGGATGTGGTACCAAACGATGTGAGCTCCAAACCTCCCCCCCCCCCCCCCCCCCCCCCCCCCCCCCCCCCCCCCCCTCTTTGGGTGATTGCTTTTCCATTTTCCTTTCCCCCCTTTGCTCATACGCCCCATCCTTCTGTACATAGGATGCCGTCTCGATAGCCCGATCCGAGGAAGACCCCGAGGCAGCAGCGAAGAAGCTGGTGGAGACTGCTTTTACGAGGGGCAGTGCCGACAACATTACGTGCATAGTGGTGAGATTCCACCACAGCGATGCTCCGGCAACCATCATTGCTGCGGTGGATACACCACCCAAGAATAAAGAGAGCAGCGACTGAGTTCTGGTTCTTGTTGCATGTGTAGGCTCAGAGTAAGACCTCATTTAGGCATAATCTCTCCTCTCCATAGAAAAGAAATCTGTGCATGCCCCGGTGAGTCTTAGCTGAAAAAAATGTTCATATGTTTTAAGAAGCCAATTTTTTTCATTTTTTGTTTTTGTTTGTATTTCTCACCGTCGTGTCCCAGCCTAATCTGAAAATAAGTATAAACTTTCTACCTCCATTCTGCCCTTTATTTTCTGCTTATATGTCAACAAGAAAAAACCATGAATTCCTGAGTATCAGTCGTGTAGTGCGTCACCGAAAGTATTTGGACATAAACCAGTCCAGAATTTGCTTGTAACTGCGCTGCACATCAGTTAAATGGGCTACCAATATTCACAGACTAAACTGAGGTTCTCTTCATATAGGTTTGTGAATGCATTATAATTAATTGGGCCTCCAGAAACTCGATAACTTAAAGGGGAAGGCCCTGCAGTTTATGGGAAGCCCACTAAATGGGCTTCGGAAACCCACCTTGGCTTCCGGTGGGAAAGTTGTAAACAAGAGAACGACACGACGCAGCAGCCATTATGGCCTTCTGTATCGCATTTCTAAGGACTACAGTCTACATAGCTGTTCTGATGAGGTAACCATTAAAAAAATTGTACGAGTAGAGTAACGCAACCGCCTGCTGCTGCCTACTGTTAACACTGCTGCATTCTATAGTTCCCCGACGTCAGGTTTCTCTTCGACTTGAGGGCTCGACGGAGGAACCGAATCAACGAAGAACTCTTTAACTGCAGGCAACAAAATGGACCCGAGTTACATGAGCGATTAGGCGGATTCGACAGGCTATTATCATGACTGTGCACGGGAAAAAATGAAAAACGAACGGTTCAGCCACAATCACCCATGTCATTTTCTTCCTCTGCTGAATCCAGGAGTATATCTGAGCCCGAGTAGTTCTCCATTTGACCGTGATCTGATAATGAGGACACAGTAAATGTCACAATCCCGGACTGATATTGTCTACGTCAGCCTGACAGAGATCAAGGAAATAGGAGTCCATCTCACCTCCAATACTTGCCAAGTCCGCACCCAGATCCGGGAAGCTCAAGTTCCAGGGAATATGTGGGAACGAATGGACAGGCATCCCACGATAATCACACCCGCCGTCAGCACCATCTTGCAAATGAGGAGGCATCATGTCCATATGTGCTGCGTACGACGAGTTTGGTGGCAGATAATCCAGATTTGAGAATCCAGCCATCTCAACTGCACCAAGAGAGAATCGGCCATTGGATGCAGGACCTCCCCCCACCTCAGACTCAAACGAACGATTGATGGGGAGTGTTGTTACCGTTGAATGTCCGTCCACTATCGCCCTTTACAAAATAGCAAGCAGATTTAATTAGTGGAGAAGTTTTCCAACGCATCTAAAATAGTCCTTACTGGGCACAGAGAGTAAGTTATTGGACAAAAAGAAAAGGCAAGTACAGTACTCACTCTCTATCAGCATTCAGGTGCAATTGGTGGAAACTTCCTGAAGCAGGGAAACCGTTCACCACTTGGCAGTCAGACACACTGCTCACTTGACGCATCTGGGAATGACACGTTGATGGAACCCCAGACTGCTGCTGCAAGAAGCTAGGTTCTGCAGGTAAACCAGTAACTGTACTACAGACAACAGACACAGCATCTCAGTCACAGTGAAAATCAGGATATTCCACAAATGTAGCTTTGAACTTCTATGCTAATCCATCTACCAAAACATTTCTGTGCTTATCCTAGTTGTTGGTTCAGTGTAAGCATGGAAAAACAAAACATCATTGAAGCATTGTCTAGGATAGATACTGAGACGTTCACGGAAAAACTTACCAGGCACTTGGGCATCCCCATTCTGATGAGATGGAAAATCCTGGGAAGCAGGGTAGTGCATTAGCTGGCATTGATGCACGAGTAACTGGTTGAACCGATCGATTTGTTCTTTCAGGGTTAGCCTCAAGTTGTAGGCCTTGAAAAATTCCACATTTTCTTTTTCCAGTTTCTGCCATACTAAACCCCAAGGTAGGATAAAGAGGTATCAGAATCATAATGTACCACTATCAAAGCAAATGAGAAAAAAAAATACCCTTCGAGAATAACTTATAATCGTCATAGAGCTTAACAAACAGCTTCTGATCCAGTCAAAAGTAAGTTCTAATAAGGTAAGAAAGTTGGCGTTAATGCTCCTTGGTATATAAAACCCTAGCAGCATCAAGCCAAAAGCAATTCATGGTACATAACAGTAGAACAAATTCACTCATTTGCCAATTTTCTGTGCATGACATGTATATAAGTAACACATCAACTAGGTCGGTGCCAGCTTGTCAAAAAAGAACTAGGGTCAGCCAGAAAGTTAGAATCCTAATTAGGACATCACATTGATAGCCTCTACTCGTGCCCTAGCTTGTCCGCGAACTAGATTTTGCCTCGCTCATTTGTTTCTTGCCTTCAGCTTTCAAGTTAGTTTCTATTTGAGAATTTTACCGAGCTTCGAGAGGATCAATGTCACCACACATTATTGCAAATTAGGTAAACTAACTTAAGGCTAACATAACTTCTAAGTCAAAAAGTTCATATATGGATAGAATGCAGAGAAATTGATGCTTAGCATCATAAACAGATATAGCAGCTGCTCACCTAGGCTTGTAAACCCAGGCTCGATTCTAGCCTGCTCCAAGAGTGTATTCACCACATCGTTCTTATTCATATACAGTTGCAGACACCTCTCTATCAAATTCTGGACCTACAAACACCATTGATGAACTTCAACTCTCGAGTTTGAATTTCGATTCATCAACGAATGAACAAATTGAAAACGACTATCTGTTTAGGCTCACCATCTTGACATCGTGACGAGTGATTTTCCTGCCATTGTTGCTTAAACCTGAGATGGCATCAGATCCGACTCCACCTGCCACAGGTCTTTCATCCTCTTGTTTGCTGTTTTGCTGACGCGGTGATGAATCCATCGCTGCTGTATTCTGCAAAAATGTTTGTTTCAAATTTTTCGTCTATCCATTTTCACTCTCTTCAGTAGTCCACTCACTCACGCAGAGAAATAAACGGAAGCTCAGAAATCGATCGGAGAATAGATAGCGTTAAGTAGAAGCCGATACCGAGATTCGGAGAGTTAGGATACCGGCGACGACGGAAGAAATGAACCACGAACTGACGGAGAAACCGGCAATACTACTCTTGTTAGTAAAGGACGGCAGCGGACGTAGAGGCAGCTCTCCTTCTGGCGACTTCTCCCTTCCCGATGGCAGACCGGTTTACTCTCTTAGAAATGAGTGAGGACACCGAGCAGCGGCGGCTCCGGTACGGCGGCGGAACACAGATTCTCCTCCTCCTTCGTTTTTGTTTACGGTCTGTATCAGACAATTTCTTCTCCAGATACTCCCTCTCTCAATTCTCTGTCGATTTTTTGGCTATCGGAAAAACCGGCGGAGGAGCAGGAGCGGAGGCGGCGGCGATGGCGGCGCCGGGAGGGCGCAAAAGGATGTAGCGGCCACTAGCTGGGATTCGGCCGCCCTTTCCTCTTTATGAATCTCTCTCGGTTTCCTCGGCTCCTTTTTTTCCTTTTTCTTTCTTTCAGTGCGGGGTGTAGTAGTACTCCAAAATAAAAACCCTCGTTCTTAAACGGCACGGCGAGTAGAAGGAAACGCTAGGTCCAACGACAAAACGACGCGGGTTTATGTGATGTTTTCCTCTTTTCATCCTTCAACTTAAAATTTCCTAGGCTCTGGCTCTTGATAAAACTCGTTGGTTAGATTTTTTTTTTCGGTCATAAATATTCGACGAGGAATAAATCGATAAAAATAAGCAAGCGAGCATGATAAATGAGGGAGAAATCAACGATTTGTAGTTAACCAAAAAGTAAACTATCATTGTAAGAACATTTTTTGCTATGAGATGGGCACTACATTAATGTAATTTTGTTCGAGTTACCTAAAATAATAAATTGTTTAAATGGTCGGTCGAAATCCAAGGCCGGACTAATTGCTCGTTGAGATGGACAATTACGATAGTGATGAAGATTAGCAAAGTAGTATATGAATGAAATTTTTATTGGGGGTGAAAAAGCGGGTGCTAAGAGGAACCATAACACGTGCTTTTACTAGTCAATAGAGGTTCACATTCCCCAAAAAATATTCCTAACAATCCAACTGCATAAGTTAGGCACTATATGATCTATCATCGGGCTACCGGCGGGGCTGCAATGCCCCTTATTTGCCAAATAGTCTGTCACATGATTATGTTCTCTATACACATGAACTATCCTGGCCTTCACAAAACTGTCCATCACGCTCTTAATCTGATGGATAATTGGAGCATACATGTGGTCTAAATCAAGGCGTCCCCCAACATCGTAACAATAACATGGCTCAAAGTCAAATGTTAATGAAATGAACCATTTTGAGTCTATTCCAATTGGTTTGTGAAATTTATGAATTTTGAGTCCATTTGGTCTTGGTGAAATTTGTGAATTGTTCCATTTTTGAATCCATTCCAATTGTGTGGCTGAGGTATGTAATTCAATTCACTAGTTATAAAATGACCCGCTTTATAGAATCAAACAATTGAACAAACTAAAACATTTTTATTATTATTGATTCATCCAGCCCACCATAACCAATAAGTTCAATTTTTAACGAGGGAAAAAAGGACTGAATCACATTTGTCGCATTCAGACATTTTCTGCCACCAAAGCCAGCTGCTCGTTTCTCAAGAAGGTAACGGAGTTTGGGCAAATCAAATCGTGCAAGAAACCCACTCCAGCCAATAGAGATGGGCATATTTCACTTGATACAAAATTACAAAGACCTTTTATCTAGTCACCTTATTAAAAAATAAGGTTGTCAAGCCGCGGGTTGATTCGGACACGGTCGAGCTAGTGGGTCAAGGGTCGGATCACTCATTTTTGTCCGGAAATATGAAAGAGTCATTATATTGTACTTATTCTGATAAATTGTATCAAATCTCATTTAACATATGAGTAATAACATATAATATTACACCAAAATAACATGTCATACTTAGATCCAACATATAGTGAAAATTCATACACACTTATATAACATCAATGTTCAAATGTTCAACTAATGATTCCATAGATTGAGTTAGGCGAAAAGAAAAATCGGAAAATAGACGCATTTCGCAAACCAAAGAAAAAAAAAATGTCACAATTTGACCTCCAACCCGATACCTTATAACGATCGACCGACAAGTGCATGCAACCCATTTTTCTCACCGAATCAGGATCAAAGTGGGTCGACAGCTGACAACCTTATTAAAAAACAATAAGAACATCCTCTCATCCATCTGTCTGTCGCGTGGAAGAATTATGAAACTATATATATATATATCATATGTCAGAAATGAGAAAACAAAACACCCACTAATTATGCATGTACTTTGATTACATATATATACGGCAGGTGGCAGACGAATTGCCGTCAGTGGCCAGCTGATTCGAATCTGTATTTTACAGGAAAGCAATGAACGAACGAACGAACGAACAAACAATCGCATGTTCTGAATTGTTATTTTATTATATCAATAGGCAATAGTGCGCATATCAAATGCCAAAGCCTGGATTCTTATTTAACTCCTTAGGGTTTCCTTTGTTGTTGGATGGAAGAACTATATATGGAAAGTATTAGCTTTTGATTGATTTAAAACTGGCATATGGGGTTCTGGAGTTCATAATTTGAAGGAGGATATGCAATGGGGTTGAGCTTCTTCAACCATTCATTCTTTGAGTTTCCTTAATGAATATACGAAGGACTACGATGTCGAGGGCATCGACACTAATAAGTTTAGCACGAAGGATCTGTCAATACCAAAAGAATTAGAGGTGGCTGACATGATGATGGCGTACGACTCAAAATTCGTGGTTCAATGACTAGAAGTCAAATCAAACAGGTTTGGAGATCACGTCTGAGTTTTTATTTTTATTTGGCATGTTACTTTGACGATGTTGAATCGATTCATTGTGATGGACGGTTTGTGTACTTAATTGGACTTTGTGATAATCGTGGTCCGCCCTAGAAAGAGTCGAAGTCCAAAACAGAAAACACTCTCCACGACCCAAATTTCCTATAAGGTTTTGGTTGAGGTCCACGCTCTCTGTAAAATGGTTGGTCTTTACCTACGAATTTATGCGACTTTGAAAAATGGAAACCTCACGCAACAAAATTCAATTGATTCTTCATTCTTCTTTGAGTGTTGATTGGCATAGGGTTAGAAACAATGTTATTGATAGGTTGATCATTTTTGTTGTGGTTCACTTCATTATATGTGCTTGGTGCTCTAATCAATTGAGTAATTCAGATTAAACACCTGACGATTTGTGTACTTAATTGGACTTTGTGATGATCGTGGTCCGCTTTAGAAAGAGTCGAAGTCCAAAACAGAAAACACTCTACACGACCCAAATTTCCTATAAGGTTTTGGTTGAGGTCCGCCCTCTCTATAAAATGGTTGGTCTTTACCTACGAATTTATGCGGCTTTGAAAAATGGAAACCTCATGCAATCAAATTCAATTGATTCTTCATTCTTCTTTGAGTGTTGATTGGCATAGGGTTAGAAACAATGTTATTGATAGGTTGATCATTTTTGTTGTGGTTCACTTCATTATATGTGCTTGGTGCTCTAATCAATTGAGTAATTCAGATTAAACACCTAACGATTTGTGTACTTAATTGGACTTTGTGATGATCGTGGTCCGCTTTAGAAAGAGTCGAAGTCCAAAACAGAAAACACTCTACACGACCCAAATTTCCTATAAGGTTTTGGTTGAGGTCCGCCCTCTCTATAAAATGGTTGGTCTTTACCTACGAATTTATGCGGCTTTGAAAAATGGAAACCTCATGCAATCAAATTCAATTGATTCTTCATTCTTCTTTGAGTGTTGATTGGCATAGGGTTAGAAACAATGTTATTGATAGGTTGATCATTTTTGTTGTGGTTCACTTCATTATATGTGCTTGGTGCTCTAATCAATTGAGTTATTCAGATTAAACAGATAAGGCTGTATTTTCATCAATTTGATCTGAAGAGTCAATCGGGATCCAAACCGTTTCACCCTACCCTAGTTAAAAAAAAAAGTAGAAGAGAAGCTAACCCCAGATTTGGTTAGGCCTGACCCAAGAGAAAGGTTAAAACTAACCGTGGTCGAGTTAATAGCCATGGGGAAGCAAATTATGAAACCCAACCCAAGAGTTAAAAATCTAACCATAGTTGAGATTCTTTCACCCATAGAAGAGAGAGATAGAGAGGAGGATGAGAAAAAAAAAAGTTGTCCATGTGGTTGGGTTAATGCTTAGGTTAAATACTTAACCAAACCCACACCTGCTTTTTTTCTCCTCCAATTTGTTAAATATTAATTAGATTTTTAATTTCATAGTTGGTGGGCTCTCAAAGAAGTTTTTTTTGAGCCTGAAACTAGAGAGAGAAAGGAAGAAAGGGAGAGAGAGAGAGAGAGGGGAGAAGGAGAGAAATTCCTCTTCCAGGTCAGTTGGTTGATGGGGTTTGGACAAAAGAGATGAGTCGTTGCCCGCTATATCCTACTGATTGCAACTGGTCTCTTCAGATTCAAAATTTTTTTCCCCCAATCATTTGGGAGAATGCCGCTTTTGCCTTAAATAGGTATGAACTGTTCATCTCCCGCAACTCGGTCCTGGTTTTTTTTTTTTTTTCCAGATTCCTCTAACTCCCTTTGTTTCTTCGCGGGAAGCACTGTTTGGTATCTGGCTCGCCATTGTCGATTTCGGGAGTCCGTTTTCGTGTTTCCAGAATTCTAGGGTTTTATGCCGCCAAGCGAATTCTTTTTGCTGGCGGGTATGAATGTAGTGCAACTTGGGCCCATTCTACTTGTTTACGTGCTGCAGATCTACGGCCGTGTCGCTGTGTTTTGGATTGTCTGCGAATGGATGTTGTGTAATGAGCTTTCGATGTGGAGCTTTGCTGGAACGTAATTGGGATTCTGTTTGTTGCTTTCGGTGGAGGCAACTGGAAGTTGGCAGGCATTTTGAATCTGGTTTTGGTTCCTATGCGTTGTGCGCGTTAGTGTAGATTAATGGCTACCATGAGGTGTTATGCGACCTATGTTTCCCTGTGTGTTACTTGGAATTGGACCTGTTTAGAGAAAATAGGATTTGGATTGCCCATGCCCGGCTCTTAACCCCCAACTGATCATTAAACTGAAAATCTATCTTTCAAGTTTTCTTTCTACTAGTTGAAGTTCTGACCTCTTTTTTCAAGCATTGTTCTTATTTGGTACTTTGTTGGGTCTTCATTGGTGATGTATGATTCAGAAGTAGAACATTTTTACATTACTATGTGATGGGCACTTTTCAGATAGGTAATGTCAACTTCAAATATCAAACTATAAATATGTGTTGAACACAAGTTACAAGCATTTCCACAGCAATTATGTTGGCATTGCTCTGTACTACTAGCCTATCATGCAGCATAGGATTCCTTTGCATCGAGCAGCAGTCTGAGTAGCAAAATGAATAACTTTTCGTATTTGTGTGTGATGACCCCGCTTTTGTACTACAAGAACTCACTAGCATAAGCTGTAGCTATAGTAGATCACATTTCTTGTTTGAATTGCAGAGAATATGACCACAGTTAATAGCAGAAAGACCTTGAAACACTTATGTGTTTATATTGAAAGTTAGGCTTTAAGTATAGTTTGCTATTTCAATTAGGCTTGTCCTCTAGAAAGCTGCTGTCAATTAGGCTAGTTGGGATATTGTTATGCTAGTCTGACAGAATTTCCAATGCATTGCACTTACAGAACAGACTAAAACCCCTAAAGGCATTGTGAATGATTAGACTACTGACTTATGCCTAACTTGGCAGTTGTCAGTACTATAGATCTAATACCTGTTCCTTATGAGATTCTACTGATCCTTGTTTTTTTTGGGTTGTCTTCTTCTTGCAGTAAGCTGCTAATCTGGTAATTTTATTTGAAGATTCAACTAGTGAGGCCCTGCTAGGAATGTTTGGTTGAACTTTCAGTTTACTTCCAAGCAGGCAAGAGAGGGAGAATTTTTCTCTTTTGGGATTCATTCGGGTATTATGGAGTGCAACAAAGATGAAGCACTCAGGGCTAAAGAAATCGCCGAGAGGAAGTTCAATTCGAAGGACTATCTCGCTGCCAAAAAGTTTGTCATGAAGGCTCAAAACTTATATCCCGGTCTGGAAGGCCTGCCTCAAATGCTGACAACACTCGAAGTCTATATATCTGCTCAGAATAAAATAAGCGACGGTGAAGTCGATTGGTACAACGTGCTCGGTGTTAGCCCCTTGGCTGATGATGATACCGTGAGGAAGCAGTATCGGAAGCTAGCTCTGGCCCTCCACCCGGACAAAAACAAATCCCTTGGTTCTGACGGGGCATTCAAGCTAGTCTCAGAAGCCTGGAGTTTGCTCTCAGATAGAGACAAGAGAGTAGCATACAACAAGAAGTTGAATCCAACTGCATTCTACCACAGAGACCCTAATAATCAGAGCAAAGTCCCCTTGTCCCAACCTAGTGCAAATGGCTTTCATACTTCCACCACTTCTTCCACAAAGACTCAGGGCAGGCATTCCTCTACTCCTCCTTCCTTGAAAAAACAGAACACATTTGCAGGAACTGCGGCTGATCTCTCTTCCCAGAAAAAGTTGGAAACTTTCTGGACTATTTGTAACCAATGCAAGACACAGTATGAGTACCTCAGGATTTATCTTAATCACACACTGCTCTGCCCAAATTGTCAGCAGGCCTTTCTTGCCGATGAGAGAGCTCCACCTCCAAACATTATGAAGCCTCCACCGAATCAATCTCATCGTCAGAAGCATCGTCAAAATTCTAAGCATAATAATGCAGCAAGTAACAACAATGATGCTTCTAGTGGTGGAAAGAGCTATGGCGCAGCTCAAAGACCGGGAGGAGAGAGTTATGGAATCGGAGGTTATGTAAATGGTTCTCGTGGGGCATTCACACAGCCATCAACCACCAGTCAAACTGTTGCTCCAACTGCAAATACTGTTCAGTTTGATAGGAACCATATTCATAAGAGGGCGGCTGGTACCACTGCTCCCGAAGATGATCCATTGCTGAAAAAGAGGCGAGGAGATGCTACTTACAACATGATTTTCTCCGGCAAAGAAAAGGCAGTAACTGGAGGTGTGTTCGAACTTAAGAAGGTCCCTGTCGAAGCTGACAAGACCTATAGATTTACTGACTTTCCTGGGTTTAGTAGTGCACGAAGAGAGTTAAATCCTCTGGAGCTTCGGAACATGTTGGCAGGAAAAGCCCGTTTGGCAATTAGCAAAGCATTGGAACAATGGAGCTCAAAAGAAGTGAAAGTAATAAGCAGCAGCAAGAAGCAGAAAATCAATGGAACCAATATTGTTAACAACACTCATAATAACGACCATGCTACTAGCATTCCTTCAAATTCAGGAAAACAGGGGAAGGATTCAGTCCGTGAGGTTTCTCCCGATAAAGGTAATGAAGCAGCAGCCCTTCAGCCAGTGTCGATTACTGTCCCAGATTCTGACTTTCACAACTTCGATTTGGACCGAACCGAGACTTCCTTCGGAGATGACCAAGTATGGGCTGCTTATGATGAGAATGATGGGATGCCTCGTTACTACGCACGAATCTTCAAGTTGATATCGGCGAATCCTTTTAAGTTGAAGATCAGCTGGCTCAATTCGAGAACCAACAGCGAGTTTGGTTCTTTGCAGTGGGTCGGTTCGGGATTCCTGAAAACATGCGGTGATTTCAGGACTGGGAGACACGAGATCAGTGAAACTCTGAATGCTTTCTCCCACAGGGTGAAATTTACGAAGGGAGCTCGTGGGGTCACCCGAATACTCCCTATGAAAGGCGAGATATGGGCTCTCTACAGAAACTGGTCCTCGGAATGGGATCAGAGTACCCCGGAGGAGGTAATGCACAAGTATGACATGGTGGAAGTGGTAGATGATTATGATGAGGAGCAAGGCATATCGATCATTCCTCTAGTGAAAGTCGATGGGTTCAAAACTGTTTTTGCCAAGCCGACGGATTCTTCTGAAGTCAGTAGGAGGATTCCGAGAGAAGAAATGTTTCGGTTCTCACATCAGGTCCCACATCATCTGCTCACAGGAGAAGAAGCCGAGAACTCTCCCAAGGGTTGTTACGAGCTGGATCCTGCAGCTACACCGTTAGAGCTTCTTACTACGGTGGGTGAAAAGGCTGAAACTACCTCTGGCCAGATCAATTGCGTCATGCAAGCAGCAGCAGAGGGAGGTACGAAGGTGGGTACTTAGGTAGCAGAAGGAGGCAGCTAGTTGGGATAGATGATCATTTTGGATTCACCAAAGGGCAGGGGACAGTTGAAGGAAGATACAGGGGGCAGGAGAATTATAGGCCATGTTTTTTTTGTTTTTGATTTTTTGTAAAGCTGATCCATGAAGGAAATATTGTAGATGCTTTCTTCAACTTGTGCCATTACAAGGACTGCTACTAGTTCTATTACTACCCGGGATCGAAGAAAGAGATCCTGAGTTTTGTTCTGTTTAATTGTGGCTGCATAGTCTGGGACGGTCTGTAGGGAAACAGAACCATTCATTTAGCAGTAGCCTAGAAGATTACCAGCAGGTGGTTTTAATTTTACACCTTTTCTGTTCTGTGTTAATGATCTTTTGGAAATTGCTCTAGTCTGTTCTCTGTTGTGATTTGGGGTTTCTCAGATGTCTGAACTTTGTGGAAGAGACATTCATTTTGATTGCTATAGCTGAATTAGCACATTGATCTTCATTTTGTTCATCTTCTCTTATTTGATAATCAGCTACATCTAACTAATCGCTACTCGCTAAAAAGTTGGGCCTGAGCCTGACTTTTTGGGTTGGGCCTTTCTTCCTAAAGAAAACTTCCTACCGAGCAGGCGAGCACCATACAAAAAAAAAAAAAAAAAGGGATTACAGAACTCTTCGCTCTCTGTAAAATCCCTAGCCCGGCCGGCGTCATATCTCTTCAATCCATCAGTCTGTCTACCGCCATGGCGATTGAGAACTTCATCTCAGATCTATATCGGCCGCTAAGGGAATACCGTCACCGTTCCGGGAAGCGACGACGAGTCGGTGCCGAATTAGCGAACATTCCTCCGATCAGCAAACTCGGAGAGGATCTCCTCGTAGAAATCCTGATTCGCCTCCCCAATCCTAGATTCGCCTGCCAGTGTAAACTCGTCGGCAAGCGGTGGAGCTCCCTGATCTCCAGTCCTGGCTTCAACCGCCGTTTCGTTTCTCACCGCCAGACCATGAACCTGACCCACCCGCCTATGCCGGAAAATCCATTCGAGCTGCAATCGACCATCCTCAGCATTCTCCCTCCAATGCCTAGCGCCGTTCGAAGCATTCTAAGAGTTTTGGATTGCAACCAAGACCTGGTTCTGTGCGGGTTTTGGGATCCAAATTCTGACAATGGGGAACTTGCCAGGTCGTACTTGGTCTGCAATCCGTTTACCAAGCGGTGGATGGCTCTTCCTTTAGCGCCCAGGAAGCCTGTGACTTATAAATGGCCGGTTGCAAGGTTAGTTTGTGAACCCCGTATTTCTGTCGAGCTTAGATCTAGGAGATGACCAAGCATTTGTTTATTCCGAACATCGCTTTCGGGTGGTGTGTAAATATCAAACCACTCAACAAAATGATGCCATTAAACTAGACGTGTTTTGTTCCGAGTCTGGAGAATGGACCAAGGAGGCTTTTGTCTGGGATCGTTGGATCAAGAAGCGTAATTTCTTGCAATGGGGAGTTGTTTTTGAAGTATACTCAGTATGGTCCCAATAGCAGGCGTATTCTTGTGGATGGATTTAATCCCTTTCGCCTTGATATGCCTCCTACTCCTATTGATATATCTGCATTCGACATGTATCCGCGGTCGTTTATCTCCAACTCAGAAGGTGCCTTGCACTTAATTGCACTAGAACACGAAACCATACCTATTCGTTTAAGCGTCTGGAGGCTGGCTGAAGACGGTAAATCATGGAGGAAACAATGTGGGGGGTTGGTGAATAAAACATCACTGTGTTGTAACTATGAAGCTGAGGGATGTTATGAACCGTTTCTGCATCCAGATAAGCTGGAACTTGTTTTCTTCAGTCGGGTTCTTCATATTGATAAGAACGATATATTATGCTGCGATTTGAGGAGGGAAGAGCTACAGTTTTTCACTAAACTAGAATGGAAGCATGATGCCCATTATCTTCAGGTGTTTCAGCCTAGGGTTTCTTGTTGGGCTACTCCAATTCCAACGCACAAAGAGTTGGAAGGCAGTTATGATGAAAGTAGATTTTGGGTTGAGAGCAGCAACAAGGCCAGAACTCCCTTTCTCCACTCCCTCAATAGTTGGTAATTGCTTCTCCTTGTAACAATTTACTTCTTTTCTGCTTTTGCATGTCTGTTAAAGTTTAGGAATTCACTAAATAAGAAAAAAGAACGCCAGTAAGAAAGTTTTCCTGCAACCTTTGAACCATAAGTGGTTAAGGGGTGCAATTTTGGGCTTGCCTAACTAACTAATCAACGAACTACTTGCTCTCATGAAACACTTACTAAGATGCTTATATCTCTTGTCATTTGCTTGAGTATTTTGTTTTGGTTGCGAACTCTTTGCCTGCTCTTTTGGACCAAACTTCGTGGAAGTTGTTTATGATAAAGATGCACATGGACGTTGTGTGTGTTTCCTTAATTTTCTCTCTATTTACTGGTTTGTGTTCCTATATTTCATCTCATTTCTGTTGTGGCTGGTATTAATTGCTCCAACAGGTAGGTGTTCATTCGCTGCACTCTGGACGTTGTGTGCGTTTCCTTTATTTTCTCTCTATTTACTGGTTTGTGTTCCTATATTTCATCTCATTTCTGTTGTTGCTGGTATGCGAAGATTTCGTTGACGGAGAGCAGCCGGCGTTCGTGACAGTTTTCGTGTCTTCATTCTCGTTGAGGATCATCGCACGCCGGAAAGGTTTTTGTCATCGTCTCGCTTATCTTTCGATTTCGTTTTTCGTTTTCACTCTTCACAGTAGAATCGGATAATCCGCTAGTTATTTTTAGCGATTTTGAATGGCATTCAGACATCTATTCATTTCCGATTTGCTTTTAGCTCCAGATGTTGTGTATTGAACTGCCAGTGTTCAGTGAATTGCAGCTTCCTTCCACATATGTTAATTGTGGATTTGCTTTTAGCTCCGGATTTGTGTATTGAACTGCTAGTGCTCTGCGGATTTGCTTTTTGCTCCGGATGTTGTGTATTGAACTGCTAGTGATCCTTGAATCTGTGAATCTGTTTGTTTGTAGGACGATTGATTTTCTCTCCATCGTTGATGTTAATCGGGTGATGAAGCTGAATATGACTGCTGATGTCCTAAACCTCAAGTATGAAACGATGAGAGCTAGGAGAACATTAGTGGAGGTTAGACTTAAGAAAGCTGAAGAAACTCAAGCTGATCTCATTCAAATTGAGATTGACCGCATTGATGTTAACAGCCCCCGAGTGTTGCAGGATCTCGATAGTATGAAGAAGTTGATGCCTGTTAGTAAGGCAGATCTGTTGGCTAAGACTCAGCACCTAATCTATCCTTTTGGTGCTCCCCGTGCCATTGATCAACTCATTAACATACAAATCTCCTCCACGCTGCTGGACAATATGCCGAATCCATCGGATATCTTAGCCGACAAGGATTTTGGAGAGATGCGAACTGAAGGAAATCGGCATGGTAGCAGTAAACAAGTTGCTGGTATGCAATTCTTTGATGATTTTTGGTTCTTATCATGATGAGAATGATGGTTGGATGAACTCTGGCGGGGTTTGATGCTTCCGACGAGTTTGTTAATACTATTACAGGAAATGGTTTTGGTAATCAGCATTTCAATTACCAAGTACTTCTGAACCTTGCTGCTGTTCTTGTTCCCAATTGTAGTGGTGATAATTGGAATGTTGAAGAAATCTATGTTCTGTTGCTTGGTGTCCAAGTCGAGAATTGTGCTAGAAGTTTTGTCAAGATTAAGGACAGTTACTTTGGCTTTTCAAACTCGTTGGCAGAAGCTGAGGACTAAGGAAGAGGATGAGATCAACAGTTTTCGTTGTATACTAGTCACGAGGATTGGGATACATTTGAATCAGCTCCCGTAGGAGAGCAGCAATATGATTAGGAAAACTGTTGATCTCATCCTCTTCCTTAGTCCTCAGCTTCTGCCAACGAGTTTGAAAAGCCAAAGTAACTTTCCCTAATCTTGGCAAAATTTCGAGGACAATTCTCGACTTGGACAGCAAACAACAGAACATAGGTTTCTTCAACAGTCCAATTATCACCACTACCACTGAGAACAAGAGCAGCAGCTAGGTTCAGAAGTAATTGGTAATTAAAATGCTTATTACCAAAACCATTTCCTGAAATAGTATCAACAAACTCGTAGAAAGCATCAAAACCCCCCGCAAGGATTCATCCGACCATCATCCTCACCATGATAAGAACCAAAGAAATCATAAGAGAATTGCATACCAGCAACTTGTTTACTGCTACCATGCTGATTTCCTTCAGTTTGCATCCCAACAAATGCCTTGTCGGCTAAGATAGCTGATGGATTAGGCATATTGTCCAGCATCCGGGGAGATTGGAATGCTAAGGAGTTCATCAATGGGAGCGTCAAAAGGATAGCTAAGGTCCTTAATCTTAGCTAACAGATCTGCCTCTCTAACAGGCATCAACTTCTTCATATTATCGAGATCCTGCAACACTTGAGGACTATCTACATCAATGCGGTTAATCTCTGACTGAATGACACCAGCTTCCGGGGCTATTTGCGCGACTCTTCCCATATCCATCATCCGGGGCTCGATGAGTCATTTAATCTTGACTACTCATATATATATATATTTTTTTTTGGAAAACTTAATATAGTAATTATTATTATTTTACCGTTCTGTCACCTTTAATTTCGCTTTTGACCAAATTACTGAGTGGCTGCAGGGGAAGCAATTTAACATAGTTTTTTTGGGTGTTATCTTAATTATAAGTCCAACGAAAGGTTGGAAGAAGATTCAAGACGTAGAAGAATAATACTTTGTTTCTGGTTTCTGTTCGGATATTTTGGAACTATGTTTTTAGGGTAAATTTCTCTTGGATTTTATTTCTCTCCTTCAGTGCTCTTGGATTATGACATGAACTAGCTCAGATTTCTGATTGAACAATTTCAGTTTCCATGACAATGAATTGAATCAAAATGACAGAAGCTTGGCTTTGTTTGATCAACCTGAGCTTTCTGTTGTCTACATGACTGGTTAGAGACTTTCATCACTGAATTGAGGGTAAGCTATGTCGTCCCCAGTACACTCCTTTATTCTACTGTAGACATATGCAAAAATAATGCACCTACTAAATGCAATACAGAGCCATGATCCCAGTAAATGACAAAATCAGACTACTGGACGCCATCTCTCTAGCTTGGTTCTCTCAACAGAGGAACAAGAAGACCAAATTTTTGACGACGACTCACAAATCAATGGACTTCAAAGCATCATGGGAATCGGACCCTAATGCTGAAAATTCGACAGTGTTAGAGGAAAGGAAATACAAAATGTACCCATTATTTTTTATTCTCTCACTATAAAATTTGTGGATTTATCGAGGAAAAAAAAGCTGAGTACAAACAATTTAGCACACGATCCTTATTTTCCTTACAAATCCCATCGACTGGATTTGGGCTCGGGCCCATATCAAATAAACGGGCTAATGGGCTAGTAAGGAACCTGGCGATTATACTATACAGGCCCATTCGATGTTGATCGCCCAAATGAACTTTTAATAATAGCTGGGTCATCATGCTCTTTCTGAAAAGTGTTTGTATATATAGTACTAGCGTGGGCCCATATGAAATTTGATAATGTAATGGGGTGCAATGTAGTCAAAAGCGAGTTTCTACGTAAAAACGTTTTGGTGATCTAGAAGCGTAAAATCGTAAGTTTTTAAGTTTTAAAGTGGAGTTCTTAACTACATAAGTTATTAATACTGAGATTTGTGTAGAAGCGTTTTAGTAACCTAGAAACGTAAAATCGTAAGTTTTTAAGTTTTAAAACGCGATTTTGACTACATTGATGGCGTGTATAGCTTATTGCTGTATAGTTTTTTTTGGGGAACACGTGATAAAAATATTGAATTTTAGTAGGAAAGGGACATGAATGATGCAACGAATCAAAAATCAGCCTTATGAACCAAAATCAAGTACTTTTTACCTTGTGAAACAATATTGTTTCTGGTAATATGATGAGGTGGAGTAAGTTCTATAGAAACCGAATTCCAGAAAATCGAATAAAAAATCGTCCCCCGCCGGTTTTCGGGAAATGAGCATCTCACAATCGTTGCTAGCTTTTACTCGGCCCGTTGGCCGATTAATTTGCTTTATAAAACTTTCATCTTGTCATCATTGTGCTTTCTGGTTTTTTGCCAAGCCATGATAAAATCTAAAGAAATCAAGAATGAACAACACGATTTGGGATAAGAATCATCGTTCCTGTATCCCTAGAAAATGGTGGTAAACACGGACTCACCTGCCAAATTGGTTTGATTGAGATTTTTATCGGGTATTAGGGAACCATGTGATTATAAATTAGACTTGATCAAAACGGGTCAAAACTTGAAATTCAGCATGTTTGACCAACCCATGCCAAACTCTAATTATCCTTTACTTTTAAACTTTCTATTAGAAAATAAAAAATAATAAAAAAAAGAGATGACTGCAATTCGCCATTTGCACATCACTGATTCGGGAATAAAACTATAGAATTTAGAAAGGAAACTGAAAATGTTTAGGATCGTTTTAATGTTAAAAAATAACCAAATAGATCTTTCTGTTTAGTTTTTTACTAACAAATACCAAACGATTCCCTATAACGTACACTATAATTTAATCGTTATGATATCAAATAATTACATAATATATTTATGAAATTATAAAATTGGACTAATTGGGTTGGTCGAGGTTGAACCATTGAATAACTTTAAAATACATTATATTTTAGCCAATAAGATATAAAATAATAGCATAATATATATTATGCTAGAGAAAATAGCTTGTTTTAGAATGACAAACTTATGATCTTCATTTGTTTTACACTTTTACTTGATGGGCAAATCACGTGTAGGTCTGGCCATTCAACTCTTTTATTTTATGATTAGCGGTTAGCCCACTAGAATCCATGCATTAGTTTATTGTTGTTTTTTTAGCAATAAAAAGGAGTATTGTTTTTGCCTTTTCATATATATTTTACCACCACGGAGAAATAAAAGGACTTAAAGAAAAAAAATTGACACTCCTTGACTCGTTTAAATCCGCATGTGTACGGTAAGTTGGCCCGTTCCACAGAGGAAAAAGAAAAAAATTGACACTCCCTATTCTGCCCTTCATACAAACGCTCCTCGAGGAGGAAATTTGAAATGGGGGATGGGTTTTTTTCCTCTCTGCGATTATATG